TGTCCTTATTCATCTTGTACTTCATTGAGTATGGCTATTGGAGTATCATTGTCGTGTTTGGAACAGGTTTGTAGCTTGTTTTTTAAAAAAAAAAGAAATTATGCTCATATTTTGGCCTCTTCACTCAAGTGTTCTTTTTGTCACTTAAGCGGTCCTTATGAACTCTCAGTACTTTTGCAAGTTTGCAAAACTACTGGAAGGGTGACATTTTCAGCTCGAGCGGTCCTTTTTGCGCTCGACTGGTCTTTGGGAACTCTCAGTACTTTTGTTTATCTTTCGCTCAAGTGGTACTTTGTTCGCTCGAGCGATCTCACTTGTTGTGTCTGGTCGCTCGAGTGACCATTTCTACACTCGTGTAACACCCCAAAATAATTATAATAATCCAACTCCAAACAACTAATACAAGATGACATAGCTAAAATGGTAAACTTTCATTAATCAAAATTAATATACAAAAGGTGATAAGGAATGAAAGCTAAACAAATGCTCATATGCCCTAAAGGCTTACATATTTCCAAGCCAAGGCTTGGGTACATCAAAAATGAGTTATAAACTCAATACAAATAAAGCCCTAGGCTTGTACAAAAGTTAAACACAAAATAAACAAAACTAAGCCTTCAGCTCCACAGTCCTCCAAAGCTAAGTCTTGGGTGGAGGCATATCACCAGCACCTGAAAATAATTTTCCCAAGTAAGGTGAGCCAAAGCCCAGTAGAAATAATCTAACACAATATATAAATCTTAATAAAGATATAAGTATGATGTACATCTACAATGCCCGTATAAAATCATTTATAATTCTTCTACAAAACCATTCTATGCCAAACTTTATATCTCAATCCATTTTATCTCAGTTCATAAATCATTTTCCATTTCATTTAAGCAACCAAGCTAAGGGTACAACTTAGTGGGTCTCTAACCAACACCACTGTTATACAAATGATTCCATTTCTTTGCCATTTTACGGAAATTTCGTCCACGGGAATCGGCAACCATGTATGCACACGATTTTCAAGACTTTCACCCTGGATACACAGGCCAACTTAATTCAATGGAGTCCATCTCCTTTCTTCTCCCAAGCATGAAGTACATCCTCTTTCTTCTCCCAAACATCATACATTTAAAATGTATCAAAGACATAGTCATATTCAATGACAACAGAAAAGATATTAGTTTCAATTCATCTAATTCTCATGCAATTTTTACAACAATCATAGTTATCCTCCACCAATAGCCCAAAACAGATATTTCTAAATAGATGCATAATCTCCAAGCAGATAAATTATTCAAATTTCCATAGGTGAGAGGTAACACATATCCAACTCCACCATTTATATAAATATTCATCAAATTTCATATTCCCAATACCAATTTCATTTATTTATACAAAATAACTACTTGAGACATTTAGGGAAAAACTCTATTTTCTTCCAAAATCCACCCCGGGTATCAAAATCAGCAAATTTATCATAACACAATCTCACATCTACTCCCATAACCATTTTTGATACATACATTTGAAAATCCCTCTTTTGATTTTAGACCAAAACCCTAGTTTTGTTCAAAATCATCCCAAAGTTTCAATATTCTTTACACATCAACAAATAACTAAGTTAAAACTCATATAAGAGTGTAGAAAGTCCCTACCACGAAGCTAGAGATCAAGGAAACAATGGAGAAACTTCAAAGATGCCAAAACTCAACTCTATTCGGATCAACGGAGAGCCCTCGGAGTGCTCTACCTTTTTAACAAAGGCCCACGAGTAGAAAAACTACCAAATCTAGGTGAAAATGTAGAGAGAAAGTGAGTTTTAGAGAGAGAGGCTCTAGATCTAGGGTTTTGAGAGAAAAGGATATGAAAAAGTGATATAGAAGGGTGATGCTGCGAACTGATATACGCACAGTTCGCTAGAGTGCAAGAAGTGATGCTCGAACGTCAGCCACAATAAGTTGTTCCACTCGAGAGGAAGAAGTGACGCTCAAGCACAGAATGCACTCTCAATAGTTTTGTAGATAAGAAACCAACGCTCGAGCAGAAGAAAGGCCGCTCGAGCGTAGAATACACTCTCTTAGTAGTTTTGCAAACCTACAAAGGTACTGAAAGTTCACAAAGCCCGCTTGAGCACAAGAAGTGTCGCTCAAGCGGAGAATTAAAATTATGGGCACCCAAAGTTTAAAAACCAAGCAACCAACATGTTCCAAACGCAACCATTACAATCCAATGAGGGGAATAAGACATGAACAAAAATACGAAACCACGAAACTAGGGTGCAAAATACAATGAAGGTCAGGTCAAAATCGGAATCGCTATAGCTCGGGCGGTCTGCGCGTATATCAGTCCGTAAAGTCACCTTTTTGGCTCATTTTTTTACGTCTCTCTCTAAATCTCAGATCTACACACTCCCTCTCTCTCTAGAAATCATATATAAACACCAAATACACCTTGATCCATCAATTTCTACACCTTAGTTCCTTTGTTAAAAAGGTAGAGCATGTCGATGGCTTCATTTTAATCGAAAAAGTTTGTGTTTTCGGCTTTGTCAAGTTCTACACATCTTTCCTTTGAGTTTTCTTCTTTGAGGTAGGGATTACTTTGACATTTTGTATGGTTTTTAACTTAGTTATTTGATTTTCTAAGCTATGTTGTGATTTGGGAATTTTTAAACAAAAATCTAAGGTTTGTTTTAAAAATCAAAAGAGAGGTTTTCAAAATAGGCTCTTGTATATGATTGTGGCTTTATAAAAATGATTGGGTTATGATAGATGGTGGATTTTATCCATGGGAATTGACTTTTAAAGAAAAAGGGATTTTACCCTAAAATGTGAATGTTGGATTTTGTAAAGAGGAAATGGAATTGATGTTGGTTTTATGAAATTGGAACAATGATGATGGTGGTGGTGGAGTTAGATATGAATTATCACTCCTAATTAGAAATGTTGGAAAGTATATCTGTGTTGAAAATTAATTATCTGTTTAGAAATATCTGTTTTTGGCTATTGGAGGAGGATAGTTATAATTGTTGTAGAAATTGCATGAGAATTAAGTGAATTGAAAGTATTTTCTCATCCATTTGCATTGAGCATGGTAACATATTTAACACATTGAAATTATTGTTCTTTTGTGAAAAAATTGGTGAATTCCTTAGTAAGTCTAGATAGGAGTGTAGTTGTAATATTATGTTGGCCTGTATATCCTTGGTGAAAATCCGTAAACCTACGCAGTTAGGTGTCGAGCATTCCGGTTAATACCGGTAAAAATGACAAATTGGTAGTGCTTGTAGCCTACTTGCAAACATATCCTAGAGATTCTCAGTGTTGTATCCACTGTCCTATTTTCTATTGTAAGGGAAATGAATTCATATATTTGACATGTAAACTTGGCATAGCATGGTTTTGGAAAGAGATATAAAATATTTTGACACGAGTATTGCATATGCATTCACTTTATAACTCCGTTAAGATTCATACACTATGTTAGAGTATCTTTACTGGTTTTTGACTCACCCTATGTAGAAAACCATTTTTCAGTGTTGATGATATACCTCCGCCAAGGCAATAGCTTGGAAGGACTTGAAGCCAAGAGCTTCTTTTTTTTGTTGTTGTTATATTTATTTTGTACAAGCCTAGGGTTTTATTTGAATTAAGTTTAAACTCACTTTTGGTGTAACTAAGTACAATCTTGGAAAGTTGTAGCGAATAGGGCATTATATATTTATTTAATTTTTATTTCATATCTTTTGTTTATATGCTATAAATTCAGGGTTAGGACTTATGAATGTATAAATGCATGTGTCACTCTTCTGTGCACTTGAAGTATATGAATGGAAGGATATTATGTTCGGAAATGTATTGTTATTTCACTACAACAATAATACTTAACGATCACACAAAAAGAATTAAAAATATCTCACTTTTTTTAGAAGTGTTATTAAAAAAATTAGATTGATATTTTAATCACACTTAATTTAATTAATTGTGATAGTATTTATTTTTAGAGTTTTGATTGGGAGCCCGAATCCGGAATCCTCCGAATGAAGAGAAGAAGAAGGAAGAAGAGGAAGGACTAGAGGGGGCCATATCAACCGGGCAGAGGCGGAGGCGGAGGCGGAGGCGGAGGCAGAGGCGGAGGAGAGGCGGAGGCGGAGGCGGGGCCGGAGGTGACGGCGGTGGGCTACGACGATCCACGATCGGCGGCGGCGAGGCGCAGGAGGGGGCCCTTCTCTCCTCTCCTCCTCTTCTCTTTCTCTCCCTCTCCCTCTTCTCTCTTTCTTTCCCTCTTTCTCTCTGCGACGAAAATGGAAAATGGAAAAACAACTGGAAAAAAAGCAGAAAAAAAGAAAAAAAAAAAAAAACTAATGCCCATAATGACATCGTCTATGTTTCTTCCAATTATGAGTGTACACAGTTTAATTTGGTTAGTGTTGAAGGCATATTTAGTATTGAATTGATCTTTTTAGTTTTTATGATTGAGAAATCAATGCAGACCGTATGCTATGATTTGATTTTGTCAGTTTGATATAGAATAGAAATTTACATGAGTTTTTAAAAGGTTTTATAGCAGATTATAAAATTTGACATTGAAAATAGATAAAGAAAATATATGAAAATTGCTCTAAATGTTTTTTCCCTAGTTTTTAACACAAAAATGTATTATATTAATTTATCATATAATGTTTAATAAATTATACAGAAAAAAAGAAGAAAAAAAAAAACTAATGCCCAAAACGACATCGTTTTGGGCATTAGGGGCATTCGGTGCAAAAAGTTTCGAGGCTGTCGTTTTGGGCATTAGGGGCATTCGGTGCAAAAAGTTTCGAGGCACAAATCATTTTTCTTATTTTTATCTCATTTTGTGCAAAAAGTTTCGAGGCACAAATCATTTTTCTTATTTTTATCTCATTTTGTAAATAAGTGTAATTATATAAGTGTATACAAAAAAATATTCGTCTGATTGTATATATTTTTGAATATATTGTTTTTATATAAAAATGTATCCTAAAACTTGCGGCTTTTTCTCTTCCACGATTCTCAGCACAGAGACATGACTCCTTCCCTGCCAAAGAAGATTGAATTTCCAAACATATTAGACTCTTCCTTTCCAATTCACTTTGCCTCTGTTTCTGATTCATTATCCCTAATTCGGTTTCCACCTCCAAAAACACCATTGTTACTCACTCAACAATCACTATTGAATTTTGTCTTTTGAAATCAACCTCTTCAAACTTCTGGTGAGTTCTCTCAGTTTTTTATGCCCCTTCATATGTCATTCATGAGATATGTTTGTATATATTTATGGTTATGATTATTATTAGTGGAATTATATAAATATGGGGTTTCATTGTGAATGAGGGTTTTGGGTGGTGCCAGAAAATAGGTACTCTGTTTGATTGGTAAGTGAGTTTCCTTGCCATTCCGATGTCCTTTGGCGGGTGGGTTCCAGTGTAATTGGTGACGCAGCAAGTACCTTGAATCTTCCTTTAGAAACTCTGCGTCTGTGAAAAAGTACCCATCTTTCACTGCCTCTACGATTTTCTCTTCGTATCTACTCATCACTTCCTTCATAATGTTTCTATCAATGTTGTTTGTGGCAAATTCAGTAGCTTTCCCCTTTCATGCCCATTAAAAACACCAAAGAAAGCCTGTAATAATAAAAGACAAAATAAAAAAAAGTACCGTCACACAACCGTCTTTTTATTTGTATTTTTTGTTTGCACATATATTCTAATAGTGTTTCTACAAGTTTCTAAATTCTCGTTTTGGACAGGTTGATTTAGTAATTTTTTAGTTATTTTGTTAAAATATGAGCTAAAAAAACTTAGTATGTTTGGGATGACTTTTTGACTTTTTATGAAAAGATGTGTAAAAAGTAGAGAAAAAAGACAATCTTTAACTTTTTGGTATGGGCTGTTGGCTTTTTGATTTTTTTAATGACTTTTAGACTTTTTGACTAAAAAAACCACTTGCCAAACGAGACCTAAGTCATATAAAAATTTCCTTGATTATTTTTTTTAATTTTATTTTTATATTGATTTGCTAATTTTCTTTTCATTTCAAAGTTAAAACATTAATGGCCTTGTTTGAAAAGTTGGTTATTTTAGTAGACTATTTTAATTTTTAGCTATTTTAATAGGTTAAAATATTTGTGTTTGGGAAGAGGGTTCATTTTTTTGTAGTTAGATGTGATGTTTGTGAGAAAAAAAAAATAAAATGATTACGAATTTAATGTGATATTTTGTCTTATTAGCTATTTAACTTATTTTGTATTTTTGTAAATTTTAACCCAAAAAAAACTAATTTTTGACTCCCCAAACACCCCCAATAATAGATTAGCAAAATAAACCAAGTCCTTCAAAAATTCTTGATAGTGAAATTTCAGAATCATTACCAACTACTTGAAATATATTCTACTAGAAGCATGGGCACACACATAGGAATTTAAAATAATTATATTAGTTATTTGAAGCAGTTAAAATACAATAAAGTAGTTTAGATATACAAAAGTACCTACACTCCTCTTTTTATAAATTTTATTTTATTTTTTATTTAGTTATTTCACTAATTCCAATGTATTGAAAATTGCATTTTTTACACTTTATGGATTAAATTTTGTGTATTTTTGTTTTATATGATTGATTATAGACTACACCCCTCTTTTGATAATATTTTTTTATTTGACTACTCAGTTAACATACAAAGTGGATGAAAGAAGTAAGAAAAAAGTGTTATCTTCAATTTGTTCAAAATGGAGGACATTCAAGAAAGAACTTACCAAGTACATACGTGAAAACAAATCCAAATCCTGAGATCATATCAAAACCACCAGCAATTTATGGATTCGTTGAACAAAGACATTGAGACTCATTTCTTGAAAGGCGACTATTAGAAGAGTTTGAGGTAAAAACAATTAAACTTTAGTTATTTAAAATGTCAATATGAAATACTATACATTTGGATTAACTTTGTGTGTTACATTTTTAAAGATTTTGACTCACATTCAGAAATGGAGACGAAGTCAAAATAAGTATAACCATAGAATCAGTCGAAAGGGCTACGCTCGCTTTCAAGAAGACTATGTAAGTGGTTATAAATTTTACAATTTAATAGCAGTTTTGATATGATTATTTTTAAAAATTGATGTATATTTGATTGATAGAAACATAATACTGAATCTACTGAAGATTTGGACGGAAGCATTTTATGGAAAAAAGGCTCGTTAAAATCAAAATGGAGAATATGATGACAAGACAATTGTGGAACAAGCTACGAAAATTGTAAGATATTTGTGTGTACTTATTGCATTTATTTTATACTCCTTCAATTGTTCATCTTTATAGTAATGTAATGTTATAGGATGAGTTGACTAAACAAAAAAGTGATGGGAGTTTAACAACTGAAGGATGTAATGACATTCTTACTATGGCATTGTTGTACCCTTAATATTTTAGTCAAGTAAAGGGTGTAGGAAATTCTGTCACACCTAGCACCTACTTTCACTTGCTTAAACGTGGGAATCAGTTACATTAAGAGAAGAAATACAATGATCTGGCGGTACAATTGCAAGCTAGGCTCAGTGCAGTAGAACAACAAACACCACATACACCACAATCTGAACATGCTAGTTCAAACACCTTGAGAAATGGTGATGCAGGAAATTTTGAGCCTGATTTTCTCTCAACAAAAAACAAGATGAGAACTAAGGATGGCATTCCACCCCAAGCAAAGATCATAAAGGTGTGTAGCATTAGAACACCTAAAGTTGTTATATTTTCTAATACCATTGGTGATATTCTTAGTTCTTTTATTGTTATCTTCTTGTATGTTATAGAGCAAATGTTCAAACACATTGAAAAGTGGTGAATGGTGAGTACTACCTTGTTTAGGTATTCTTTTACTATGAATGGTGAGTTCTGAATTACAGGTAGTCCTCATGTTCATCATGGTGAAACCTCAAGGGGAATAAGCACTTTACTGTATTACATCATTTAATGCACTTGTGGGGCTAATAGTGTCATTTTTGTCTAAAGCCAAAAAAAGCCTCTACAATTTAGCCACCCTCCACCCTCCCAATCCTTTCCCCCCCTTAGCCGATTAATTCTAATGTTGTTATCTTCGTATTTATTGTAGAGCAAATGTTCAAACACCTTGAAGAGTGATGATAAAGGCAATTTTCAACTTGATTGTGTCTCACAAGACAATAGGTTGAGAACTAAGTATAACATTCCACCTCAAGATCCTAAACAAAATAAGAGAAAGGTGTGCAGTTTTTATATGTTGATGTTGTTATATTTTCTAATATTGTTAGTGATATTCTTAGTTGTTCCATTGTTAACTTTGTGTGTTATAGGGCAAACCGTGTAAACTTGCAGTAGGTTATATTGAAACTATTGTTGCTCACGGTACGGTATATGAGAGAATTGAACCCAATGAAGTCATTCTTACGGTGCCATTAGGAGAATCCAATGTATGTATGTCTATTCAAGTTGTTATAGTAAAAAGATGTTCCTCTTCCTATACCTATTCCAAATGAGATACTTATTGTTGGAGAAGCAATAGGATTTTTTGTTGCTTAGACCAAAAATCTTGCATTAGTTGGTGATGAGGAAAAATATTCAAAAATCTTGTATTACATTTTCCTAAAAATATTTTGACTTCTGAAATTTTCTTTTGTAAAAATTTATGAAACTATCCAAAAGAGGAGGAGGACCAATTCAGTTTGAAAAGTAGTTCAGGTAATCAATATCATTTTCTCTAATTTTATCATACTTATATTTATGCTAATGGTTGTTCAGCTCGAGCTTAACACTTTATATGTAGTTTCTAATAATAATGAAAATGTTTTCATGTAGTCCTCACAACAACCCACAAACGTGGAATGTGGGTTTTATGTAATGAGCTATATAAAAGACCTCATTAGAGATCAAAGCATCCCAAGAAAACAATGTGTGAGATAAATTCAAACTTTTATTACTATATCATATTCATGATACTTTGTACATCTTTTTCATTATCTAATTGTTTCTAAATAACCTCTTGCAGTTCAATGAAAAAAGACTTACACATAAACCAAATGTAACATCCCAAAATAAATACAATGACCTATCCACAATGTTACTTAAATGACAACACAAGATGAAATAATTAACTTTCATTAATTCCAAGTTCTTGTACAAAAGAGCAACACATGCAGGTATACATTCATAAGTCTAACTTTGAATCTATGGCATGTGTTACATGATAAAGAAGCAAATGAAAGATAAGCAATTAAGAGAATGCCCTAAACGCTTACAACTTTCCAAGCTAGTACTTGGTTATAACAAAATAGATTTAAATTCAAATACATATAAAAGCCTTTGGCTTGTACAAAACAAATACACAAATAGCAAATGAAGCCTTGCTCCAGGTCCTCCCAAGCTATTGCCTTAGGGGACCACCTTCTAGAAGCTTTCTGTCGGGTGCCAAAAGGGTTTGGTCGGCCAATATTTTTACGGTCAAGACAAACATGTTCGTCAGTCATATTTCCAAAATGATCCATTGGAGCAAAATGGTCCGGATGTGCTTGCCCGAACATAAATTATCAAGATGTGCTCACTTGGACAGAAATTGCTCGTCGGTCATTTCAAAAATAGTCTGGCCACGCAAAATATTATTCATCCAACCACTAATGCATCCAATGATGCTCTTCTTAGAAGGTTTTCCCCCCTTCTCACTCATTTCAGCTTCCTATGCTTGTTTCTTTTGAAAAGAGATCTACTATTTTTGAAAAACACAAAGTTAGAAATGGCCGAAATGCTTGAGAATGTTTCTCTTGCCTTAAGAAAATCATTTTGAAAATAGGTTTGAAGGTCTAGAAAACTCTTTGGCCAAAACGTGTGTTGAAATGTTTGGCTTTCTTTACCCACAACTTATACTTGAGCTGATCTTTACTTTCATCGTCAGGAGCTTTTCATGGAGCCCCCAAGTCTTAAGGCCAGAAAAAAATAGGGCCTCTACAATTATTTGTTATGTGAATTTATGTACAAGTTAAAGAAATGATGAAATCTCTGTACTCTTAAAGTGAAATTGGACATGTTATGTGGTTTTGGTAGGTATAGTTCGGTAAACTCTCAAGGGCATCAAGTAGAGTAAAAATTTAGTATCACGATAATATTGATGATACAGTATCATTAATTCACAATAAATTTATATGTAGAGGTTGAACCTCACTTTCTAGATATAACCACTTTGCCATATATACAAGGGAATGTAAATGACAAAAAATTATTAGATGTTGATAGCAATAACGTGATATCACTGTTGTATTTAAGTTTTTTAAGAATTCACATTTGAGATTCAATAATGCAACATCTGCATAAAATATAATATATAATGTGTGATTAGTTCATTTTAATGGTGGTAGATGAAAAGAGGCCCAATTAACACCAGGTGCGATGTGGAATGTTTGATCATTGAAATTTTACCATAGCCCAATTTAGTCCATGTTTGTATCTTCTTTTTCTTCTAGACAAGTCGAGTCCACATAGAGGGTAACCAATGTTAGTGCTTGTTTATAGTGGATTGAGCGTAAGCTTACAACTCATCAACCAAGAGCCCTAGCTTCTTTGACCCAGATTCAATTATAAAATTCAGAAAAATCGTAGCCCAAGCCCAAAGCACACAACAAAATAATAGAGCCCAAAACTGCAAGTATCCAATCAGAAATTATTCATTCGAATTAACTCTACTGAGAAATATATATTGTTTCTGTGAGATCAAATAAATATATGCTTGAATAATTCATTATAGGATGTTTTCCAAATTTTGATATTTGTTGGTCATAAGGACACGTGTATAGCACTTTTTTGCTGTTAAGTCCCAAAATGTGGTGATAAGGATAATCCTTGACATTTTTTGTCCGTATTATTTTGTACTAAAAAAAAAAAATAACATGCTATGATTTTAATTATATAAATATATTTTTTAATAAAATTAATATATCTGAATTTGTCTTTTTCGAAATCTTTCAAAAAGAGATTTTATATTGAATATGAAATTTTAAATATATATATCAACAAATGAACCTTTGGCAACGCAACAAATAGATACGGTATGGTAACAAATAAATCTATTTTCTAACTAATTTAAAACATGTCAACGCAAAGGAAACCCATGGCAAGGTTGGTGTCATGGAAACAATGATTGAATACCATAAACTGAAATTTTTCCTGGACCGAATGACATGATTTTTCGATATTATGTTTCACGATTTAAGTGAAAAAGTATCAATTGAAAACTAAAATATTTTTTTATTTTTTGTTTTCAAAAAATGCACACAAAATCACTTACAGCTGTTTTGGATAGATATATTTCGAAAAATACATGGAATAAAAAAGTATTACTTTCAAAATAAACTACCAAACACTGTTATGGCCAATTGAAGGTTTAGAACCATATAAATATTAATCTCATTGTGGGGGCCAAACAAAAATTACAAATCCAAACGCCATCTCCTAGCCCGTCTAAATATGGGCCGAGTAAGGTCAGGGTTCACTGGACCAAGCCATTGCCGAATATGAAGAAGCGCCGAATAGTTCTCTACTAAACAGAGCCGAGTACATCGAGGAAGTCGGCATTGACCCATTAGCTGGGACCAGAATGCTCTTTTCAATGAAGTATGGTGAGGGATGGGCCTAGACAGAGTAATGATGGAATGATAAGCTGCATGGAACAAGAGTCAAGGAGGGGGACTCTATAAAAGGAGAGAAGTTGTATAAAGAGGTAGGTGCTAAACAAACTTAAATCCAAAGAAACTTAAAAAGACCAACCCTTATACCAGAACTAACTTGTTCGTTGGAGTGTTGGTTCCGGCACCGTCGTCCGAAATGTTATTTCTATTTTGGGCGACAGCTGGAAGATCAAAGGCTTGTTTGGACCGAAGGAGTGTTCTCTTTCCACCTCCACACACTCATTTTTTTTATTTAAAAATAAACAAATATATGTGTATCAGTTTTTTTAATTTTAAAAAGTTTTAAAAGTGCACAGATAGGACATCTAATGCATAGACAGCACAGATAGATAGCAAATAATGCACAGATAGACAACAAATTACACAGATAATGCACAAATGGACAACAAAGAATAGATAGTCTTGTCTTCATTTTTAATTTGAAAATACTTTAAATGTGCATGATAGACATACTATTTGTCTATGTTTTTTTATAATTAAAATGTGCATAGATAGACCTATCTATTTATGCATATTTTTTAATTTTAAAATAATTAAAATGTGCACAAATAGATCTACTTATATGTTCATATTTTTTTAATTAAAAAATGGACACATAATTAGGTATCTTTGTTTAAATCGCAGCCGGAGAATCACCGGCGCTAGAAAATTTGTTTACATCAAAGGGAGGAGAGGGTTGGCGACAATAGGCAATGGTGTGAGGTGATTAGATAGGGGGAATTTGTTATTATAGTTGGGGAGTAATATGATCTTTTAATTTTGTAGTTGTCATGATAGTCTGAAAAGATTAAAAATTAGGAGAGTGGATCAAAAAATTTCAAAATAAAATTTATGACCGAAATATGACATGACATAATAATATAAACTAATATTATGATTTAATTTATTTATTTGTTTATTTTTTGCTAGATCGGGTTGTCAATATCTATCTCCAAGTCTTGACTTAAACCAAAGGGCTTTATCAAAGTTGGCCCAGTTGTTGGCCACTATGACTTTATTCAAGCCTGAGCCTAAACATAGTAAACAATGCCAAGTCCTAAAAATTATTGGATTGTGTCATTTAGGTCGGGTTGAATCTGCTCAAATTGTAGAAGAATGATAAGGGCTTTGTCTCATATTCATTTGTAGATCTGAAGATGTGATACTATCATTTTTCACATTGTAATGGTGCATAAACTTGTTGATGTGGAAACACTCAAAATGGATTCTAAGGCTCAGTTTGGTTGGATACATAACACACGGAAGTAAAAGAAAAAGAAAAAAAAAAATTATGTGCTTGTTTAGATAGAAAGTCTTAGAAAGTAATTGAAACTATAGTTTCCTACACAATTCAAACTAGCATATTAGTTAAGCTAACAATTTCTTGCAAAATATATAAGAAAATTTATTTTTTTCTTACAAATCTTGACAAGATTTTTTTTTTCCCCCTTTTTGCTCATGTTTCTCCCTTACAACTCCCTATTATGTAGTGATTATTATTTTTTCCCATCATTTTCTTACAAAAATTTTCATCTATTCAAATGCATGCAAAAATATACATTTTCATTTCTTTTTCCTTTCTTTTACTTCACTTTCTGCTATTTTTATTTTCTATCATCTATTTCTTTCTAAACAAACGGAACCTAAATGATTATATATATATATTGCAAAGAGATTCAGTTTTATTACAGGGATTTTTTAGTTCAATAATACAAAATTAAAAAAAAAAAAAAAAAAGCTTATACTATCATAGTTTCACTTTCACTTTCCTTTTAACTGCTGCCTCTGTGCTTTTTACTTTAAAAGCAAAAGATTAATCATTACTTCTCCCTCTGCGCGTGCTTGGATTTAGTTTATTTGATACAGAGATTTTGAGTTTGTTGGGTTTATGGAGTTTGATTAGTACCGTACATGCGGACTATGCAGTCATAAGTGATATTATAATTATCTATTATTATAAACCTTAACATATATATATATATAT